CGAAAAACCAAGCTTCCTTCTCTTTCTCGATGCATGCTGTTCGAAGAAGTAGCATCCACATGCCCATAACCTTGTGATATTTGTCCCTTGGCAAGTGGAAAATGTGCTTGAATTGCGGATGAGTCTTAAACCATGACCTCTATAGACATGAGAGCGGAGGCTTCAAATTGTCCAGCGTCGTCAAAGCTTCGTAGATGTAGCACCTTGTCGATATCTTAATCTTCTTCTTATACTCTTGTCGGTGGGAAGTATATTTTCATAGGTTGTAGTGCTGTCAATTGCTCCTCGGAATCCTACAAAAACATTCAGTTGTACCAAGTTATTCTAATATTACAAATAAAATCTGATTAGTTGTACCAAGTAATTCTAGTATTACAAATAAAATCCGATTAGTTGTACCAAGTAATTCCTAGTATTACAAATAAAATCTGACTAGTTATATCTAGTTATATTAGTATTACAAATAAAATCTGATTAATATTATCTAGCTATACTAGTATTACTTAAACAACCACAAATCCTAGTACTAGTTAAACTAGTATTACATGTAACAATCGAGTAGTTTTATTCTGTTATACTAGTATTACCTAGTTATACTAGTATCATGTAGTTATACTAGTATTATATAAACAACCACAAATCCTAGTATTATCTGGTTATACTAGTATTACATGTAACAACCGAGTAGTTTTATCTAGTTATACTATTATTAATTAATAACTACAAATCCTAGTATTACCTAGTTACACTAGTACTACATGTAACAAGGACTTGTTTTACCTAGTTATACTAGTTTTCCCTAGTTCTACCTAACAAAAACAATTTAGTTTCCCCTAGTTCTACCTAACTACGAATCCAATCCAATGGAATCGAAATACTTACAAGACTTTCATCTTCCCCGTCCGCCGAGTTTTATTCGGAGCCCTCTCCGTCTTCTTCTTCATTGACTCCTTCTTCTTCATTGTCTTCTTCTTCATTGGAGTTTTCTTCTTCTTCATTGTCACTCTCTCCTTCTTCTTCATTCTCGTTCTCATTTGAGACATGATCTCCTTCTTCTTCAGTCTCTTCGTCATCATTCTCTTCATTATCTTCTTCATGTCTCTCGCCAATGGGAACCGTAGTTCCTTCAACCTCTTCTTCAATGGCATCAATCGCCGAACTGCTTTGACCCTTCTCCACTTCAGCAATCGGCGGATTCGCATCCTCAACAGCCTTCTTCTTCTTCCTCTTTGTTTTCCATCTTGTTCTAGCCATTGAATCGGCGGATCGAGTTCGAGAGAGGATGAAAGAGGTTTTCGTTTGAACCTGAGAGGGAGAGGTTCGAGTTTTATGAGGGAGAGAGTTCGATGAGGAGTTACGTTTGGAGCAGTTTGAGGGTGTTCGACGAGGAGTTACTTTCAGAGCAGCTTGAGGGAAGGGATTTTTTAGTTTCGGGTTAGGAATTAGAGATTTTAGTTTTTGGGTTAGAGGTTAGATCTGATTTTAGTTGGGTGGGCGGGTAGAAGTATAGTTGTAAATCTGGTTAATTAAGTAGATTTTTAGGTAATTTTAATAGTTTTCTGAATTAAAATTAATTCAAAACGAAAATAAAATAAAAGGGGGATATTTGAGATTTTGGTTTGAGAGACGGGAGCATCTCGAGCGAAGTGCTCAAATGCCACTTTTACAGAAAAATTGATCTATGCTGCCATCACATGATCTAATGCCACTTTCTCATTTAAATGAGATGTGATATTACAAATTAGTCCTTAATAAAAATTAAAAAAACAACCAAATAAAAATAAATTAGTAAAAGTAAAAGAAGTAAAAATAAAAAAAATTAAAATTTGAAAAAAAAAAAATTGAATCATCGATTTCTCCACCGCAGCTCCAGCATCCCCGCGAGAGCTCCTCCTTCCTCTTCTCACACGAGCTCTCTTCTGGTTTCCAAGCTCCTTTCTTGAGCTTCTTCTCCCGTCATCCTTTTCGTCCAACCTAGATCGACTCTTTCTCCACTTCGTCTGACCCAGAATTCCAGTCCTCTTTCTGCCATTGTTGAAGATCTCATATTTTGAAGGTGATTTCTTCTTTTTCAATTAGAGTGTAAAATTAGGGCTTTAGATTTGAAAAATTAGGGATATGGGTTGGTAACAATGTATTCTGGATAGATTAAGCCATATGTTCGGTAATTTGTGAGAAGAATGTGGTTATGTTAATCAGATTCATATGTAGAACAACGAAACTCGAGCTCGAAATTCCCAGACATTTGATAGGAAAAATGGTACAACTGGTACAACTGATAGCGAACTGGAACAACTGAAAACTTAAGTTCAACTGGTACAAATGAGAGCTATAGTTCAACTGGTACAACTGAGTTCAATTTAGTTCAATTGAGTTCAACTAGTACAAATGAGAGGTGTAGTTCAATTGGTACAACTGAGTTCACTTTAGTTCAACTGAGTTCACTTTAGTTCAACTGGTACAAATATGAGGTATAGTTGCACTGGTACAACTGAGTTCAATTGGGTTTAACTGGTACAAGTGGTACAAATGAGAGGTGTAGTTCAACTGCTACAACTGAAATCAATGTAGTTCAACTGAGTTCAACTGGTATAACTGTGGTACTTTGTGTTCAATTGAGTTCAACTGATCAACTATTTTCATTATATTTTCAGGAGATCATGAGCACCAACCACACAAACATATATTTTGATTATGGAGGGAGTTATGCTATATGATGAACGGGAGTTGAAATGGTTTACTAGTAATTCCACATATGATATACCATTTACGAACTTATCATTAGAGAAGATAACTTACTCGACATTAGTAGATAAGATATGTAAGAAGATATGATTGACAGAGCAGCACATAAGAACTGTTTTGGGGTCCATACTTATAAGTCAGATATATAGTGACTTATTCTAGAATGCCACCAGAAGACTCAAGGCTGTAAATGGTATTTACAAGCTGCAAGGTTTAAGAAATCGGATGATTTCAGTGTTAGAGTATACAAAATGATGCATATATGCTCTCGTAGAAGGAAAGGCATCCCACGATCAATAGCATCTATTTTTGCAGTGCAGTTTGATTTGTGTGTGTGTGTTTTATAATTCTCGGTTTTGTACAACCATGTTAGACTATGTACATCTATGAATCTATATGTGTTTCAGTTTGGCGAATTTGTATGACCATGTTTAACTAGGTAAAAGTATGAATAATTCTGAGTTTTATTTTGTCGAATTCACACTTCTAGGTTCAACTGGGTACAACTATTAACGTTTATGTGTTTCTTATTCTCTGATTTGCACTACCAAGTACAACTGAGTACACGTATGAACAATTACATGTTTGTCTTTCTCGAATTCGCACTTCCAGGTTCAACATGGTACAACTATTAACGATTATGTGTTTGTCATTCACACTTTTAGGTTCAACTGGGTACAACTATTAACGTTTGTGCGTTTGCCTTTCTCGAAATCGCACCACCCGGTGCAACTAGGTATAATTATTAATAATTTTGTGTTTTTCTTGAAATTGCACCAGCAGGTGCAACTGGGTGCAACTGGGTACAACTAATATCAACTTTAGAAGTGAACTAAACAATTATTAAAGCTACAAGTGATATGAATCAACTAATTAAGATCTATAAACACATTTTTAACTATAAGGAAACAATTACTAATATAGAGAATATTAATTTTTTTTATTATGATACAATATCATGTTTTCACATCAACCACCCTTTACAATATAAGGAAGATATCAATATTGTTAAGCCTTTTAGGATTAAAAAAATCAAAATATTAAATTCTTCATACATTATACTATGAAAACGTTGAAAATGATGTTTAATGGTTACAAATCATTTGTACAACTACACTATAATAGTTTAGGAGAAGGTTCAACTAGAAATACAATAAAATTGCAAAAGTACAACTATTAAGAATTTGGTTCAACTGCTTGCTTGAGGACAACTAATTTTAATTTATTTTGGAAAATTTAATAAATTTTCAGTTTTCCACCAGCGGGAAGTTTTCCGCCAGCAGGAAGAATTTGCAATATTTTAATTTTATTTTCAAAAAGTCCACTTTCCCAAATGTTTCAAAACCCTAATTTTATTTTTTTGTTTCTTCAACTTAGAGAGAGAGAGAGAGAGAGAGAGAGAGAGAGAGAGAGAGAGAGATTAGGAGAGAGAGAGACTATTCTGAGAGAGGAGACGAGAGAGACTATTCTGAGAGAGGAGACGAGAGAGACGATTCTGAGAGAGGAAACGAGAGAGACGATTTCCAGAGAGGAGACGAGAGAGACGATTTCGAGAGAGGATAGGAGAGAGAAAATATTTTAATTTTTATTAAAAAACAAACTAAACAATTATGAAAAACCAAAATTTGTCATAAGTTGAACTTAATAAAACCCAGTTGAACCATAAAACTCACTCAGTCGAACCATGTATTTCAGTTGTACCTCATTACTTGTGTCATTCGTTGTACCTAATAAAATCCAGTTGAATTTAACAAAACCCAATTGAACCATAAAACTCACTCAGTCGAACCATGTATTTCAATTGTACCTTGTTACTTGTGTCATCTGTTGTACTTAATAAAATCCAGTTGAACTTAATAAAACCCAGTTGAACCATAAAACTCACTCAGTCAAACCATGTATTTCAATTGTACCTTGTTACTTTTGTCATCTGTTGTACTTAATAAAATTCAGTTGAACTTAATAAAATTTAGTTGAACCGTAAAACTCACTCAATCGAACTCAGTCAAACTATATTTATTTCAGTTGTACCTCACAAACATTATATTTTTCATAGTTTTCACAAAAATCCAGATAAAAAATTCTATAGCTTGATGTTACTGAAGCTCCACCATTGAAAGACTAGCAAAATTAATGTTGAACACCACGATTTTAGCATTGTCCATGATAATGGTGGCCATGTAACTTGGATTATGCTTGTTCCACACAATGAAACTGACGGAATTTTTTTGCCTTTTGAATATGTTGGCTAGCAATCACACGACAAGCAGGATCATGCTGCAAACAGAAGGGAAACTGTACCCTCCAAAAAATCATGCAAAACTTTAAATAAAAACCAAACACTTACTATAGGATCTTAAGCTGGATAAAACAAGAAAAACAAAAATGTAAAAAGCACAATACCTCGAACAATAGAAAGTTAAATGCCAAAATGCAACCGCCAACAAACATTCCCAAGTTGCTTTTCGGATCTAAAATAATCTGATCATCTTGCACAACTCCTGAATCAAGGCTCCCAAGTATTCCTACAAAAAAGAGACGATAGCTAATAAGACCCAAACATGATGAAAACAAGGAAAAAAAAAACCTTAAGCAAGTGAGCAGCTAATCTCGTATGTCAATAAAAAAATTTAATAGATCATATGGTGAAGACAGAGAGGAAAATCGATTAGTTAAATGGTCAGTTAGCTATGCATCCATGTCTTCACCAACTTCCTTCAACTGATTAATGAGCTCTTCCAGCTTCGGCTCAAATATGTCATCGCAAAACTGCATAAAGAATATGAATCGCAGGGCAAAAAACAAATCCACACATCATCATTCATTGAAACCTAAGCTAGGGAGAATCGTAAAAATTAATTAAGTTGCAGAATTTAGAGCCCTGAAATTGCTACAACAGCCATTGCTGAACTAAATCTACAAAAATAAGCGGAGAATTCAATAAAGAAACTCGACACAGCAGCATCGCTTACAGTATAAGAGATGTGCCAAGAAACTCACATGAATCTACAGAAATGATAGGACTAAACTTTAAAAGAGTACAGAAAAAATATTAGAAAATACAATTCAAAAGAGAACGAAAAAGAAAATGGAAAACCTTAGTGAGAGAGAGCAAGTAGAGGCCGAGGCTGTTATGTTGAGAAACTGAAGATTAAGGAAAGGGAAGAGACATCGGAGCGCGTGCATCCTTGGCGGTGGAGAAGCAGCGGAGAAACGATGAAGCCATTGAGGAGAGGCTACCGTCTGTGTCGAGGAGAGATTTTAGATCTGTGACGAGTTCGTAGTAAGATTGAAATTCATCGTCTCCTCCTCTTTTGATTGAATTAATGAAATTTAAAAAAATAGATAAGAACCGACGAAGAAGATAAGATGTTCGATAATTGGAAAAAAAAAAAATTAGATAAATTTTAGTTGAATTAGAGAATTTGAGTGATTGGACTGTGTAATATTTTTAATTTAATAAGAGTTTAAAGAATATTTCCTGTATTTTAATTTAAAAAAAATAAAAATATATTATAAATAAGACAATGACATATATGATTAGTTTTTCAACAAAAATGGTATTTCAGCAATTGATCCGGCATCTCATATTAAAACTTCTCTGCACACACCTCTTCACCAATTAGGAAAGACGGAAGAGAGAAGGGAGCGTCGTTGTCTCATTCGCATCGAGAGTGTAAGAACACATCGCCGGAAAATGACGAAGCGAAATCTCCGACTGAAGGAGTCGACACTGGGGGAAGACGCTGAGCAATACTACCAGAAGAGGATTCGAGATCTGGAGTCGGTGAATGAAAGTCTCAAGGTTTTACCTCTCTTCCCAATTTTTTGAAATGTTTTCGAATTTTGAAATCTGGATATGTTTTTTTTGGCTGTCTAACGAAGCGATTTTAGATTCGAGTTAGTATTTTTGGAAAATTTTATTCCAAGACTGTTTTACTGAAGTTCAGTTCATGGATGAATCTCTCAGTTTTTTACCCTTTTGCCAATTGTCTTTTCTTAAACTTTTCTCGTGTTTTAAAATCTAGAACTGTAATTTTGGCGATTTTGTTTGAGTTTCATACTTTTGGGAAAAACATTGCTCCAGCAATAGCAATTTCATGGATGATTCTCACCGATTCAGTTTCGCGTGTGCAGAAAATTTCTTATAGAAGTATGATAAAATGCAACACCGTTTACTATATTTGATCTTGAAAATTGTTCAGTTCTTGGTGATAATTAAATTAGATTATCTGCTGAAAGTCCTGGAAGCAATGTAGCTGTGATTCTGTTAGTCCTGGATTTTAGATTTCTGTATGAGGTATACTAATGTAGAAAATGGCTAAGTTGAGATGTGGAACTTATTGTGTGTTATGTCATCTTTAAATTATTTGTTTCGGAACTTTGACAGGGCGATGTGGAAGAGCTAAGATCGAAATTGGCTGATGTTTCAATTAGTTCTTCTGTTGGTACCTTACAGCCTAGCAGAGAGTTTTCTCATAAGTCTATTGCTACAAAAGAGGAGGTGAATCATTTTTTTTAGGTTTCACTAAAGATTACATTTATGCTGTACATTTTGTAACATGAATACTTTTATAGGCTATGAGCTCAAGGAGCAAGTCAAACTTGCGCTCGATTTGCTCAGGAAAGAAGCATAAAACTGAGAGTTATGTAAAACTGGTCGATTGCGAAGTCCAAAAATTAAAGGCGCAGAAGGTAAATCATCTTGTAGCAATAAATGTAGAACTGTATGAAGAATTGCAGCAGTTTCCGTTGGGTGTTTTATTTTTGTGAGTTGTGACTACTCTTCAGGTTAAGTTGCAGTGCAAGATCAAGCTAGACTCTATGCAATTCAGACTATCGAAAGCTTCACTAGAAAAGGAAACTCTTCAGGTACGCTACAATTAGTTTTGGAATTGGATACATCTGTTTTGGTAGAATTGATCGACTATAGTGCTTGCCTTGTCTAGTGGTCTTTAGCCTTCTTATGAAACCTCAGCTTCTTAATAAAACAGTGTTTCTCTTGTAACAGCTCAAAAAAGAGCTAAGGAAGAGCGAGTTTGAGAAACATGTCCTGTCTGCTTTGAACAAGCGCCAGAAGCTGGTATCGATTCTGCTTACTGCTCAATGCTATATGTAGTTTTCAGCAACTTTTTTTTACTGAGTCCATGTGGCTTGTTGATTTCTTTATCTCGTTACATCAGATTTTGCAGCTGAAGAATACACAAGCTTTGACAGCCCTGAAGCGCCTAAAATCGCTGCTGCAATCTAAAAGGACCTCTTCGAACAAAAATAAAGGTTACATAACAACTACTTTGTATCCTTTACCTTTTTTTTGTTTCTTGCAATTATTTTGCTAAATTGTTTTAGTATCTTCTTTCTGTTTTTCCAGGTCCACCAAAAGGAACAATCTCCAAGATTCAGGTATCAACAAATATCTTAATTCCAAATTTAAGGAATTGGCTAAGTTTTACTTAGGCTGTTAACTGCATTATTGTACCTTTAATATAGGTACCTTAACTTCCTGATGAAGATATTCTTGATATTCCATGATATGTGCGGCTATGTATTGAATTCCATATGATGGAACTGAAAATGATCTCTGATTCTTGTTATGCAGGAATCAAGTAATGAAGTGGGGCTACTAAAGAAGTTGAACAAGATTCATTCTGATTACGAACGCCAAATGAAAGAGTAAGCTTTAAAAGAAAGTTTATCAGAGTTAATAAAGTTTTTTCATTTCTTCAGCTGCCTGTAATTATTTGTTCTTACTGGTTTTATCAGAATAGCTGAAGAGGTAAAGAGATTCACCTTGGAGGCAAGTGTGTTGAAGGCAGAATTTGAGGGAGAGCAAAATTCCTGGTAAGTTTAATTGTAACTAAATTTTCGTCTAAAACTGTGTTTCTCTAAGGTGATAATCTTTGCTAAAGTTTTGTTGTAGCCTCAAATTCTCTAAGGTGGTTTTCTTTGCATCTCTTATTTAGCTCCGCGTCATGTGGCAATGTAATCAACCAGACCCCGATGGACTCGGAACTAAAGGAACTTAAAGAGGAATTTAACAAACTGAGTACTCTTGTCAGCCAGATGGAAATGACCAATTCTCAACTCAGTGAAACAAATAGAGTTCAGGTGATCAATTTAGAATTTAATGTTAAATTTATTTCTTACTAACAAAGATTTCTTTGAGTCTGATTCTTCGATTGTAACTGTTCATCAGAGCGGACCAGCTGAATACTCTGTTAGCAGCAAGGATACTAACGATGAATCAAACTTGGAGCTTTCTCAACCGAAAACTTCTGATGAAACTAGCTCCAATACCAACGATCAATCTAATTTGGATTCATCTCAACTCAAAACTTATGAGGAAACGCTCTGCAATACCAAACATCAATCAGACTTAGAGCAATCTCAAGTGAAATATTTAGAGGAAGCACTTCGCAAAAAGGATCCGAACAAAGCTGAGGTGTGTTGCTCTTGTACTAAGAAGTCTCTTTGTAAGACCAGAAATTGCAAATGCAGAGCAAATGGAAGTGGGTGCGGTATCTCCTGTGGCTGCATAGCCTCCAAATGTAGCAACCGAGAAGAAAGCTTAAGATCCGATAAAGCAATGCAAGCATTAGATGGTAAGACGCCTGTTGGGATTAGCCATGACGACAACAAAGAAGCAACCAAAAAACCATTACGTGATATAGCGAATATACAAGTAAGCTTCTTCTTCTTTTGCAACCTCTAATTTAGACCAAACCATCTTTACATAGGTTATAAGTTATAACTTATTATTTTGGATTCTACAGGAAGCTGGAAAAGTTGGTAAGTTAAGAAAAGTGCAGAAACGAGTTGCTAAGAAGTAATGATAGTAAACAGAACTTTTTCAAGACTTTTTTTGTTTAGATTTTACCGAACCTATGCAAACATTTTTTAATCCGAGTGTTGAGTAAAACATATTTGACTATGCATCTGTTGATCCCGGAGGTTGTAAGTAGCGATATTATCGTGGGAAAAAAAATTCAATCCATATCCAATTCTCTTAAAACCTAAACTCAAAAATTCTAAATTCCAATAGTATCCGGGCTTGGGAACGAGCATTCTCTTCTTTAATGGATTTTAAAATAACACTGTCCCATAAAAAAATGTTTTAGAAAAAAAATTAGTTTCTTTTTATTAATGAGATGTTATTGGTTCTTGTATTTTAATGGATTTGAGAATCTAAACCAAATTCAGTGTTATTGGTTCTTGTATTTTAAAATTTATATTGAAATACAGTGTTATTGGTTCTATAATTTTAAAATCCATAATGAAATACAGTGTTATTGGTTCTATCATTTTAGAATCTAAATATTATAAGGATTTGAGTTTTAATTGAATTTGAATGGATTTGGAAAGATTTTCATGACTAAAATACAAAGATTCAAATACAAGGTCTAATCTTGGTATTTGAGTGGATTTGATTTTTTTCTATTTTGCTGATTTTGAAATCAATAAATTTATCAAATCTAAAGAAGATTTATAAATCCACCAAAATACAATAACCAATATCCCCTACCAAATGTATTATAAATTCTCTATATATTAACTGAAAATATAGTTTAATAAAAAATATTAATTTGTTTTAATTTGATTAGTTAGTATGTTTGGTTTGAACAATTTAAAAGTGACATGGAAATGATGATGTAATTATGATATGTCTATTTAGTACATATAGTTTTTGATATTGATATAAACATCAATGCTTATTCAACTGAACCAGTCCAGAGATGGAGCATTGGAGCTAAAATGGATGATGCTTTGCTTGTAGCTGAGGAGAAGGAGAAACTTGTAGCTGACCACAAAGGAGATAAAGCTTCAAGATCAAAATGCCATCATTCTATACACCAAGGAGAGCTTGCTGGTCGAGTCAAATCAGAACCGGTTCAGAAATAAAGACTTTTATCAATCAAATAAACCTTTTGTTGTTTTCTAAAGAGAGAGTTCTTTTGAAATTATTGTCCCTGCGAGATTTAGAGAGTTGTTTGTGGATTCAAAACTCTTTTAAAAATCGTGTAGAATCATTCTTTTTCTTGTGAGGATTAGCCCTTGAGAAGCTTCAGTCTAACCCTTGTGTTTGGGGCCATCATATACAACCAGACCAGCAATCATCAAGCCATTCTTCCAACCCCTTTAGCTTAAAGATCAGATTCTAAGAGTGTATTACTTGGAGCATTTCCTATCTTACATCATTGGTATCTGAGCTAAAAGCTCCTATCCCAGGTGTTTTTAATTCCTATCTTAAGTTTTTGCAATTTGATTCATTGAGTTTTTCTTAAATTTGTTTCTTATTAAAAAAAAAATCATAAAAAGTTGTTTATTGTTCATCTGTCTTCTGCGAATTTTATAAAAATTTTAAAAATCCATAAAAATATTTTGTTTCTTGTTTCTAATTTATTAAACTCTTAAAAACCACAAAAAAATATTTCTTTTGAATTCTCGAATCATTTGCTAATTTTTAAAACAGTTTTCTTCCAACTGGTCACAAACTGCTTAATTAATTGTTCTGATGTTTTATTAAATCAGAAAACCACATAAATTTTTTTTTTTCTTTCTACATATTTGATAGATCTCCTTTGACCTTATTTGCTAGGAGCGCTTGAAGATAAGCAGAAGCATCAATGGAGTATTTAGATGAGGAGAGCTCTTATCAATCCTTCAATGACCATTGGAGTCAAAAAGAAGAGAGCCTTGCCTTTTTTTGAAGAGGAGGCTGGCTATGAATTCCCACCATGGCCTGAGGACGAAATTGACTATGGTCATGATCTAGGCAGAGGAGAACCTGAGCCTGAACCATCATACCACAACAAAATCCCCTCAAACTACAACAGATGGTATGAAGAAGAAGAAGATGAATGGGGAGAAGACTATGAGGAAAGCAACTCCATGGAAGAGTACATAACTGAAGATGATGAAGCACAAGGAGGATATGAAGAAGCTGTTGGCCTTGAAGAGCAGCATCCTAAGCAGACAGGCAACTTATGGAGTTCAACATGGAGCAACCCACCTAAAACCTCTCTTGCTCTCAATTCTCAAGTTTATTTTGATTTTGATTATCGATATGCTAATAAACTTCAACTCTATGCATTTGCAGGGAAAGAAGACTATCTAAAGTGGGAAAGAAACATAGATGAGTGGTTCTACTACAACAACATCCTAGAAGAAGAGAGATTAGCTTATGCAATTGGCCAACTTGTTGGAGATGTCTATAACTGGTGGTTACAAGAAGAAGATGACTGCTGGTTCTACAAGGAGCCAACCATAACCACATGGGGAGATCTCAAAGCACTACTAGAGGATAAGTATGCACCAAAAGATTTGGTACAAAAAATCCCTCAACTTTACCCAAGGAATTTTTTCAACTACAAAGCAACAAACCATGCTTTACAAGCCAATGCCATTAAAGAGCAAGTACAAGGGACCAAGAATGTGGTACACCAGCATGAGAACGTGGAATACAAGGCAGACAAACCTCCCATACTTCAGCTGAGATCAACATTGGCGCTCACTGAAGCTAAAGACATTCCATTTGCCTCCCTATTAGACAATCTAAAGGCCAATGAATTAAAGAAGCAACAAGGTAAGTTTCTAAACTCTCAAAATTTTACAGAAGCTAACTTAGCTTTGTTTGATGCAGGTACTAATGTTTTGAGGACAAAACCTCTTCAAGAGGGAGAGTATGATATAAGCATCAATGCTTATTCAACTGAACCAGTCCAGAGATGGAGCATTGGAGCTAAAATGGATGATGCTTTGCTTGTAGCCGAGGAGAAGGAGAAACTTGTAGCTGACTACAAAGGAGATAAAGCTTCAAGATCAAAATGCCATCATTCTATACACCATGGAGAGCTTGCTGGTCGAGTCAAATCAGAACCGGTTCAGAAACAAAGACTTTTATCAATCAAATAAACCTTTTGTTGTTTTCTAAAGAAAGAGTTCTTTTGAAATCATTGTTCCTGCGAGATTTAGAGAGTTGTTTGTGGATTCAGAACTTTTTTAAGAATCGTGTAGAATCATTTTTTCTCTTGTGAGGATTAGCCCTTGAGAAGCTTGAGTCTAACCCTTGTGTTTGGGGTCATCAAATACAACCATGCTAGCAATCATCAAGCCATTCTTCCACCCCCTTTAGCTTGAAGATCAGATTCTAAGAGTGTATTATTTGGAGCATTTCCAGTCTTACATCAGATATGATATTATTCAGTCTATTAATAAAATTAGATGTTAAAATTTTGATACGAAATTTAAATACTCAATTTTTTCGTAAAAAAATTTAGAAAATAAGATTTTTGTCAAAAAATCTGAAATCAAATTTTCGACACAAATTTTTTATCAGAAAAATTTACGGATTTCTAGTATTTACCTAGAAATTTGTGGCAACCTATTTTGCCAAAAGTTTTTATATCATATTTTTGACCAAAAAGTTATGGATTCACAATTTTTGGCGAAACAATTCACAAAATCAAACTAAAATACTCTAAAATAAATGTTTGGATGAGAAAGTTACAAATTCACATATTCAGTAAAAACTTTTTTAGAATCGAGGTTTCACAGATTTGTTTTTATGGTTTCACTTATTAGATGGAAAATTCATGAAATCAAATTTTTGAATGGTAATTTTGGAATCACGTTTTCAATGTAAATTGTTTTGGAAAAATTTCTTTTATGGGTTTAATTTTTGGCGGGAAATTCACAAAATTGAAATTTTGATAAAATATTTTTGGAATCATATTTTTTACGTAATGTTTCTTGTCAGAAAGTTACATATTCATGTTTTTGTAAGAAAATTTGGAGAATCTTGTTTTTGACGGAAAAATTTTGGAATCTTATTTTTAAAATATTTTTGTAAAATTTGTGGAATCAGATTTTTGGAATGAATTTTTCTTAGCTTATATTATCATCTCATCTTATTTGATTACAAACAAAGAACAAATGTTTATATTATATTTAAATATATTTCAATTATATAGCGAGAATTAGGAACCTGGAATAGGATGAAATGTAACAAAATGAGAAGAAAAATTATAATAAAAGGAGAAGATATGAATAAAAAAGTAGAAGACGAAGAATATTTTATCTTTTTCATTTTATGTTTCTATAGAAGTATAATATAATTTTTTTCATTATGTATTTCTATAGCAGTATTTTAACTTTTGTGTAAATTTTATTTTTTGCTTCATACAATTTTCAAACTTATTAAAAGACTTTTTCACAACGTAAATGTTTTTACAAATATATTACTCAACAGGTCAATTCCCTTCTTTTATAAATTAATATGAAAAAACAATTAACAAAGAAAAAGTATTCGTGTAAAAAAAATTAACTTGATATCTATACTACTTATTTTAAAAATTAACAACAAAAGAGCTTTATAAAAAACAAAATATAAGTCCTACGTATATCAAGCATACAAATCTTTTAATAGATTGAAATAAAATATAAATTTACTCTCAAACGATGTAAAATATATAGACAAAATTAATTGAAAATTAAATTCAAAACATTTCTGGTTTATGAAATAGTGGTATTGACAATGAATAACTATCTAAAGTTGTAATAGGTTTACAAGAGTTTCTAAATCAAACATATTTTAAATATACAAAGATCAAAATACTGTGTGTTTTTGATTTAAAAACTAACAAAGAAAAACAGTACATAAGTAATTTTAAAAGTAGTAAATTCTGATATCTATACATAGCTACTACTAAATGCCTCGATTAATTAGTTATTTTCAAAGAAAAAGAATTAAACAAAATGATCGGCTCTAGGGTTTTGCAGGTAGAAAAGGTGATTCCCAGATCCACAATCTCTTGACACACACAACGGCGGA